GGTAGTATACCTGATGGTCATCTGAATTAAATCCACCCATTCCTGTCCATTTTAGTTCACTGATTCCTACGATGTCGATGTTCAGTCTTGTCATCTCATGTTTTACCATGTCCAGATTGCCTTGATTCATAGATCAAGCATTCTAGGTCCCCATGGAATATAGATCTTTACAGCATCAGACCCTCCTTTCACCACCAGATACATCCACAACTGAGTGTCCTTTCAGCTTTGACCCAGTCACTTCATTACTTCTGGTGCTACTAGTACTAGCCCTCTGCTCTTCCCCAGAAGCACACTGGACATCTTCCGACCTGAGGGGCTCATCTTCCAGCTTCATACCTTTTTGCCTTTTGGTATTCTCCATGGGGTTTTCATGGCAGGGGTACTGGAGTGGGTTACCATTTCCTTCTCCAGTAAATCAGCTTTTGTCAGAACTCTTTGCTATGACCTGTCCATCCCATGGATTCCCCAGTCACATGAACTGTGGAATCCATGCAAATCCCCTTTAAAAAATCACTACTTGGCAATGTGTACTTTTGCATTTTCAGGTTCCAAAAGGAAAAGCCTTGCCTATTGACTATTCCTATGGCTTTACTTACTCCTGACAGCTTACCAGCTGACAGGTGTAAAATGAGTGCAAGCAAATATGCTAACCTCTTTTACGGTTGATACCAGCTAGATAAGGATAGCACACTTCCAAGGAAACTGCTTGGGCAAAAAAATCCATGGGGACCCATATAAGATATACAAATATGGGTTTAATTCAAGCATTTCATCTTCCAAGAAGATGTGTAAGATTTTCTGTGTTATATAAAAATCTGATGGAAAGTTCAGAAGAACAGACCCTTTAGGTCATTTCAAATGCATCCATTAGAACCAAAAGTTATTGATAAATGTTACCTCAGCAGCTGCAACTGGCAAAAAAGAAAAAGAAAGAAAGAAAGAAAGTGCCTCAGACCCAACAGAAGGAGAAAGTTTTGGTGCAACAGAGAAATAAAAAAAGGACACTTAGACGGAGGATGGCATCTACATATGAGGAAAGTGTTGACCTACAGTAACACCATGCAATGTGAAAGCTGAGCAGGAAAAAGAGATGGGGAGAGGAGGAGAGAGGGGGGAGGAGGAGGAGGAAAGCAAAACAGTTGTAATGTCAAAGGAATACGATATACTTTGTTAGCAATATAAAAGGAAAAGAAAACAAATGTATTTTAGACTGTTTTCTGAACATGCCATTTAATGTATGACATACATGCTCTTGATATGAGCTGAATACATTAGGGAAGGTGGAAATCATTACAGAAGTTCATCTACAAAGTTTGCTTCAGGGTGTCCATGGAAAAATGCTTCATGGAATATGCAGCCAAACTGAGATCGTTCCAACAATTAGGTCCCCTGTTTGATAGTACTGGTGTGGAAACTGGAAAGTGTCATCCATGGCACATGTATCAATATGACTCTTGCTTTCACTTAGAGTCAGTGGCTGCCATAGAAAAAGCAGCATCTGCGGCATCTTGGAGCAGAGGGCCCAGTCTCTTTCCCTCATCCCCCACAGCTGATTCACTATATCATTCTTTCAAGTGTCCTAGTCATTTTTAATCTTGAAAAACTGCTGAGGAGCAAACTTGTGCAGTCCCGCATGTACTGTGTTATTGACTGCACTTGTGGACTGAGGAAATCCACCTGGGGTTGACCTGATAAATGATGGCCTGAGAAATCTCAGAAAATTGCAGGATTCAAAGTCAGCCCATTAATCCCAATGTATAACACTTCAGTAGCTGCAAAAGACTAATTAGAAGGTGAACTAATTTGCTTTCCCCACTTCCTTCCCTGCCTTACATCTCTACTTCTTTCCAACCCAAATGCAATGTAGTTGGTACATTCTGCTTGGCACCAAAGTAAAGTGAAATCTGTGCCGGTCAAATTTGATAGGCATGGCTATTCCTCAGGGTACCCAACAGCTTTTAACCATAAGGATCCTATCAGGAGACAAGGGCTATTCCCTAGTTGATGATGATTAATTAACCCACCTTTCTTTCTCTTGCACGATTCTGGATCAAGGCCCTTTACACAGCTCTCCTCTCAATGCTTTCCTCACAGCAACAACCCTGTGAACACGGCTAGGCTGTGTGTGCATGGCTAGCCCAACTCTCCCCAGTGGACTCCATGGCCAAGTGGGGACCAGTCCCTGATCTGCCGAGTCACAGTCAAAGCCCAAAAAACCACTGCATCCCCCTGAAACCCAGACTTTGTTGCCCTAAGGACTCAAACCCCTGGACTGCATTGGCAGATTGGTCTGTCTTAGTGGATCACTCTTTTGCTTTTTGTTTTAAATCTCAAATTCTTTCTGTCTTAAATAGGAAGAAATCTTTCTGATTTCTCTGTAAAGCAGCTGAAAAAATTCTTACCTGATGGTGGCAAAAAACTGAGTTCCCACCTCAGTTACAACCATAACCTGACCATTTCCCATTCCAAAGGTTTTGAGGAACTAAGTGCAAACTTCACTGACATTCAATTCCACCCTTTTCACCACAGCACATCAATGATATTGATGGTGGCAGCAATGTTGGAGACCTTTCTGCAAGCCTGTAATTAATCTCTCCTTGCCCAGAGCTTGTGTTATGAATTGCAGTCTCTCAAGCATCTAGCAGATCTTCAGGGAGCTTGAGTCCTTATACACCTGCTCATCTGCCATGAAGAAGAACAATTTCAAGGTCTCCTTTCTGCTGCAGTTGGTGTCCAGTGTAAAAGGAGGCCTTGGGTGTATAGTTTTGTAAGGTGGAGCGGCAGGTGTTGTACTAATATAAAACTGGACTAAGACGATTAGACTGTTTTCCAAAAGAAACCAATAAATAGTGAGCATTCAGGAGAGAGGCCCTCAGATCTCATGTATTTCTTCCAACTGCCTTAGTGTCCTACTATTCCTTGTTTTTCTGCTGTGAGAGCACCAGTACTAGTAGAGAAAAAGAGGGCATTCTGGATGGTGGATCCCAGAAAAACGATGTACACAGAGTGTCCACAGCTTTCCCATGTCACAACACACACTTACCGTTGGGAGAAATGTGGGATAGTTCTTGATCTGGCATATACAATTTCTTTCCAATGGCAACCATTCAGGGGCTATTCTCATTGGCAGATTTATTTTAAGGAAGGAAAAGATACCTGAGAAAAGGAGCAACACTGCTCTTTCTTACTTGCTACTTTGTCAAGAAATGTTCAGAAGGTGTTTGGCTAAGGTGGTTCCTCCAGACCTGCCACACTCTAATCAGTAGAATTACCCAGTTGGAGAATTCTAACAGCATATTCACCTGCCACAGCAGAAAGCAAGCAAGCAAGGACAACAAAGTTGCAAACATCCTATTAAGGGGAAAGAGTCCTCGAAGTCATGAAACTGGAAGCTAAGATTAATGCCTTAACTGATGTGCCCTACATGCGATTGTCACATATTTGCTTCCTTGCAGCTCGCTCTTTGTGATCTGTCTGCCGTTCAGGCTGACTCTGGCAACAGGGTACGACCCAGATGTTCATAAGGCAATGCAGGACTAGGACAATGTGGGACATCTTTGCTGGTTCCAGAGATGCCTTCCCTTCTGGATTTGCCATCAAATGCTCAGGAAATGTTTGTGTGCCTGGAGATCAAGCTGTAACTGCACACATTCTGCAACACTGCAAGACATTTTCATTGGATGTAGATCATGTTTAATGTGGCCTTGCGGCACTTCATCCAGAATGATACAGCTTTAGCTCTGGTCTTAAACAATCACATCATCATTATCACCACCATCACCATCACCACCACCACCACCTTGTGGCATTATGCTAGAGATGAATTTTGCCTGCCAAGAACTATGAAATGTTTGAAAATTATTCCCAAGTGGGTTCCTACTTAACCTGACCTAGTTCTTATCACTGTGTAGATTATATAAGCCAAATGAGAATTCTCAATAAGACCCAGCTTTTAATTATCATTGGCATTCACAGCAATTAGTTGCTGCTAAAAAGTGGGAAGCAATTTGAATAACATTTGCTGCTTTTGTCCACCAGAGGAAGGAACCATTTGCCACATGACTGCCTGCTGGTTCCATCCATTTGTGACAAAGTATAACAATCACTCCATAACAGATTGTTCTTCTGTGTATGCTCATTGCCTCTATATGTTCATTGGTGGTTCCTATATAACACGTAACATTGCTGATGTCAAGAAATAAATTCATCTTTTACATCTAGAGTGGAAAATGTAAGGTTTTATTGTTCCGCATGCTGAAGAAAGCACACCTTGGAGAAAAAGTACCTTTAGACAATGTTGACCTCTGAAGTTGCTTCCACAAAATGTTAACTTCTGAAGCTGCTGACATGATTGAGCATACTCAACACATTTGTGCTGTTCTCCAATTTTACTCATTTTTAATAAAAGGACACTACATATCATCTATCATCAGAGAAGTGACAAAAATGGTATTGCATGAATAATTCTATTTGGAAATATGGTTAAAATTACCAAAGCTATGACAAGCTTTACTTGGGGCTGAGGAAAGGCATATGGGAATCCAAGATTAACAGCACAATCCTACTGTCTTCTTAGAAGTAAGCAAGATCTCAGGGCAGTCCATAACATAAAACTCATGCCCTCAGCCACATATTCTTTTCTTTTGATCCTTTTACAATGAAAAAAATGTAAATGATCCTGCTCAAAACAATCCAGCACAAGTTTCATGACAAATGCTTGTATAGTTGAAAGAAAAAACTTGACAACCTCTATCAGAGAATTTCTGTGACTACCTCTTCATCAATATAATGTCTTCTTTTGTCGTGCCTAACAACTCAGAGGAGTTGTTAGCACGTGTAAGAGAGCAAGAATCTCCCAGCAAGAGTCAGGCTTTAGAGCAAGAAGATTTCTACCTGGTGCCCATGGCACAAACACCCCTCCCCTCCGCCACCTGACTCTGACGAAGTTTTTATACAAGTTCCTGATAATGTTCATGAGCCGGCCATGGGAGTGTCCGTTGCCATGGAGAATGCCCAGCTGAGGGGAAGACTTCAGCACTTGAGCCAATTAGAAGAAAGGCAAAGTACTTTGTCAAGAAGTTACGAGGCATCATGATCATGAGACCCCATCCTCCTTCATAGGCAAATATACTCACCTGAATATAAATATTTTCAAATATCTTGAAAACTTTAGCTATCCAGCACCTTTATCACCTGTTTTCCAATTCATCTAATCAAAATATGTAAGAATTAGCACATTTTATCCTGTAAATTGACAATTTCCCAAAATTTGTAGACCAGAATAATTCACATCTTCCGTATATGCACCTTCCCCATACATAATGCATATGGAGATTATCACAGAATAGATCTTCCCCTAATAAACCCATTTAAGAGAACTCATGGTGCAGAAATTAAAGAGAAGTGAGCAAGCCAAAAGATGATGCTGGTTTCAGGGGGGTTTCCAAACAGTGTCCCACTAATTGTCTTCCAATAGGGCATTTCTAAGCATGGCCATTTACAGAAATGAAAACTTGTTAATTACTTCTCTGAGTTTTTCACTCATTCATCAGCTTCTCTTTTTGTTTGTTTCTTGGTGGGAAGAGGGCAGATTCTAGCAAAAGGGAAATATTTCAAAGAACAAGTAATTAAGTGAAGAAATACTGATAATCTCAACAGAAAATGCAAATACACAACCGAATTTGGATGATCTGTCATCTGCTCAGTTACAAGGGAGATGTGGTGATGCCTATGTGATTTTTGGCTTCTTTGTGTCAGACCACAGATAGGCCTTAGCGATGAAAAAGTGAGTGTCTTGTACTTCTCAATAATGAGCTCAAGTTGCAGAAAACCAGATCTGGAAAGACATCAGGGAAAAACTTCCTGATTATTAGAAAAGTCTGACCATGGAACCAATGATTTAAGAAGGTTATGGGTTCTCTCACAGTAGAAGCATTCAATAGTGCTGGACAGCTACCTGTCAAAGATGCTTTGAATTGGGCTCCTTATACGCCCCTTCCCATTCTACTCTTCTATGATTGTATTCAGCCAGGAAAGGCAAATACAGTTGGTTCACTTAAAAATGCCAAGCAATCTAAATGATCCCCAAAATGTAGTAGGATATTGGAAAGAGGTGGCAGCAACTCAGTCAAGAAAGTATACTATGACCCTATTCCCCCATATGGATGTTCAGTTTTACACAGGGCATTTTCAAAGTGCATGATCTTCAACAGCATCATTCACATGCAGGACAAGCCAAATCATTCACAACCCAAATGCGTTCTAAAATGCTAATTTCATATTCTGGAATGTAAGTCACATTGCATAAACAACCCCATGTTCAAGCATTCCTTGTTTGCCTGTTCCTGTGATCTGAACATGTTAAAGAGAGGAAGGAAAGAAGGAGGGAAGGAAGGGCAGGTGGGCGGGCAACTTATGCAGTTTCATGGATCAGCTTCTGTGTTGGTTGCTGCACGAAAGTGGGGCTGTCATGAAGGAAGAAACTTGAGAGACAATTGCACCTATGATGATCATGCCTGGCTGTTAAAATTGGTGGGATGTAGGAAGGTGATCTGTAGGTATAGCACAGCTAATAAAATGTGCCTCACATTCTGTATGTAATCTCAAAACAAGCATCAGAACTCCTAAAACCACCTTTTCCATGTCAACATTCTCATCAGGATTTACATTCTTGTTTTCTCAAAATAGCATCCATTTTATTTCATTCTTTAATGGGTTGTGATGCTGTAGACACACAGATGGAAAACTGCCATGTTTGCTTTGTTGCTACTTCATTGCCACTTTCTCTTTCTGGATCCTTTACAAAAATGACACTTCCTACACATTTACCCACAATCTTAAGGAATCATTAGCGCATTGGAAAGGACAGGAGCTGCCTTTAAATAAGTCAGATATATTTTTATTGCAACCTAATGATATAAATAAGGAACTTGGAAATAGAAGCATGTTCAGATGAAAAGAAATTATTCAAGCACAGTGATTGCACATTCCTGTAATCTGGATGCTGACAAGGAGCTAATCACATCCCCCAGTGGATCAGTGTTTCCCATGGCATGACATAAAGGAAAGCACTTGGAATAGAAATGTTAATGGCTATCCTTTCTGTTTTGAGTTGAAGCACATACCGCTTTATATTAACAGGAGCAAAGGTAGAGTCCTCCCATGGGGATTTAGCCCAAAAAGGAAGTAACTATGCCTTTGCTAAACTGCACAGGATGCAGCCAGCACCACTCACAAGGTCTTTGAGCCACTTTTCCAATGTGGATGAGAAACTCTCATCAAGCCTTTACAGTCCTTTCAATCCAGGGTAAGTTCTAGCCCTTCCAGGCCACTGCTGTGCTTGCTATGTGCTTCAGATTTCCATTCCATGCAATGCCAAATTTTGTGGCCTGACTTAAGTTGGGAAATAAGGTGGATAGAGCCATGACTGTTCTTTCATCCTACGCAATGTGTTACATGAGCAATTTTCTTGACCCTTTGTTCTACCAAAGCATTGTTGTGATACCAGGTCTTTTGCATCTCAGATAGCCAATGGGGGGGGGGGGGTTGCACTATTCATCATATAATTACCTCCCAAGTTCATATTTTTCATAAGAATCCACAGAAACCATTAGGGAGCAACAGTGCATGTGAATAGCCTCCCTGTGTGGACTACACTTGGGTTCCATTAAGGACATTTCACTGGCAGATCAGGGATGTGGTTCCCAGGGGTATCATGGGAGGGGCATCATCTCCTGTCCCCCAGAAGTTGTGCACCCCTGAACTATTCCATTGAAAGGGCAAGAATGCTCCTACAGCTCAATTGACCACATTGATAGGTGCTGCCATGGGACAATTTCTTAGCCTAGGAAGAGTGTTATGGAGCAAGTGTTGCTTCTCACAGGAAACCTTCATGGCATTGCAGAATCCCCACAATTTCAGTCATAGGAGATAGCACAGCTACAGTGTCCATGAGAGGCTGCACCACCACCATTTCTGTATTTTCATACTACTTAGGGATTAAAAAAGAGAATACACAATGATGGCTGGGTGATGCGCAGAGAGGGATATGCCCCTGTTTCAGTGTCTCTTTTACCACTGAAATGGGGCATATTCCTTTTACGACTTGGGTCCTGGTTACCTGAAGGAGCGCTTACGTCCATATATGCCTGCCCGCCCCTTGAGATCAGCGGGAGAGGCCCTTCTCCGGGAACCCTCCGTGAAGGAAATTAGGAGGGTAAGTACTCAGAGGAGGGCTTTCTCTGCGGTGGTGCCCAATCTGTGGAATGCGCTCCCCAGAGAGGTCTGCCTGGTGCTGTCGTTATTTGTTTTTTGGCACCAAAAGAAGAACTTTTTATTCAAATGTCATTTTAACTGTTAATACTATTTATTTATTTTATTCTTTGGCCAGGGCAACTTATTTTATATTGTAAACTTGTTTTATATTTTATTGTATTATATTTTAATTGATATATTTGTGAGCCGCCCAGAGGCTTCGGCGAATGGGGCAGCATAGAAATTTTCTAAATAAACAAATAAATAAATACCACTTCTGAAAAACTTGCCAGCAAGTTTCAGTCAAAGAGTCCACCTAATGGTCAGTGAAGAAAAGGGAATAGTATCAGCATATTCCTATTATACAGTCCAGCCAATGCATAGTGTAGGAAAGATAATGCTATCAATTCCCATTGTAGCAGCAAAGATTAATGGAACATTCATACAGAGAAAGGTGAAAAACCCAGTCTGTTGTGAAAGGAGATGCACCAGGGTTAGGGTTAGCATTGGGTTGGGGTTAGTCATTTTAATTGTTCTAGCCTCACTACAGGAACCTCATCATTTCAAGCTTTTCAGCATTATAATTAGGGTCTATGCTCAGCTGACATGGCCAATGAAATGCACATTAGAGTAGGCTTGAATAAAGTCCCAGGCCTACTTTTCTTGCTTTTCCAAGCTTATCTGATGCCCTTTGTCCTTTAGCTCAGGCATCATTAAATTTCAGCACCAGAGAAGGAGAAAACAAGTTTGTCATAATTCTCTGTAGCTTACAGCTGAGAAGCATGCATGCTTTCTTAGGAGGAAGTTCCATTCAGTGAGTCTTATCTCCAGAATGTGTGCAGAAGAACACATTGGAATCTTAATGCACACACATGTTCACTGAATATTTTTGCGAAGTTATGGGACATGATCAGAGTATAGGATGTGTTGTTTATGGGTCTAGTCTTTTGCTGAGGTTGTTCAAGAGTTCCATATGAGATGAGAGAACTCTGGTGTTGCATGTATGTATTTTTGGAATGTACGCTGATCAGTCTGTGAATTAGGAGTTCTGGTGTCCAAATGTTAAGATTTCTCTCTGTGCCATGATTCTGCCTTTTCCCAAGCTATGATAGCTGAATCAACATTTTGTATATAATTGGCCAACCATGGCATTGTAAGAAAAAAGCTCCCTAGACTTAGCTAGGTCAGTTGTCACCAAACCTTATCAGACTGCCAACCATTTCCCCTCGGATAACAACCCCAGCACCCCCATGCCTCTTCCTTCGTGTTAGAGGCTCTAGGGCTGTTGTACCTTAGCAAATTCATCAAAACCCCTTGCTCTCCCAGCCTTTCTCTCACCCCGATCCCTTGTCCCCACTATCACTGGGGAAGAGGGGAGGCAGGCATCAGATCACATGAATAAGGCCAATATTTGTCTTAGAATATGTATATATCTTACCTTTCTGTGCATATAAAACACTTAAAAACAGTTCAATATTTGCAGAAATGTCTTAAACACAATGCATCTTTGAAATAATGATAATAATACAGTAATAATACAGGCACCAAAGAGGGGACATCTGTGCATATTTGTGGAGGTATTTAGTAATATAAAAAAGAAAAACAAAACCCATTAAAAGAAACAATCCTTAACACTCTTTAGAATATTAACTGATACTAGAGATGGACCTGGAGCTCAAAAATCAGGGTTTGATTGTGCTGCTGGCACCTTCCACCTCTCTGCCATATGATGCTCATCTACTCCTGTTTGAGACTTGCTTCACAATTTTTAAATAAGGATAAAAAAATTATTTCTTTGGGTTCTTTTTCCAAAGAAGCTGATCTCTGCTGTTCAGATGAGGCCTGAACACAATAATGTAGCACTTAGGGAGAAAGATGAACTCCAGTAGCCCAGCACTAGAAACTAAGATGGAGAAGATCTCCACAGCAACCATATATTTCCCCTTTGTGCTCAGGTATGATGGAATGAATGACAACCAGACACTGCAAAGACCAGCATGCTGAAAGTGATGAACTTGGCTTCATTGAAAGTATTTGGCAAACTTCTGGCTAGGAAAGCCACCATGAAGCTGACAGAAGCCAGAAATCCAAGGTAACCCAGCACACAATACAACATGATGACGGATCCTTCATTGCATTCTAATATGATTTCTTTCGGCAGGGATTTCAAATCCTTTGCTGGGAATGGGGGAGTTGTACGTAGCCAGAAGACACAAAGAGTGGCCTGAATGGAAGAGCACCCTAGCAAAATAGAATTAGCCAGGGTTTTCCCCACCCATTTCCTCATCCTGGATCCTGGCTTAGTGGCCAGGAAAGCCAGAACCACCGTGATAGTCTTTGCCAACACACAAGAAATAGCCACTGCGAAGATGACAGCAAATGCTGTTTGTCGTAAAGAGCAAGTGACTGCCTTAGGCTGGCCAATGAATAGCAAAGGGCAGAGGAAGCAGAGCAGGAGGGAGGTAAGCAGGGAGTAGGTGAGGTCCCGATTGTTGGCTTTGATGATCGGAGTGTTCCTGTTCTTAATGAATGCAGCTAGCACCAAAGCTGTGATAAGATCAAAGGAGAGTGCCAGGAAAGTGAAAGTCATCCCCAAAGGTTCAGAGAAAGAGAGGAAATTTAGGCTCTTTGGAATGCAGTGGTCTTGCTCCCTGTTTGGAAATTGCTCTTCTGGGCAGTAGAAGCAATTGTCCATATCTGAAAATCAGATGAATGCTATATCAAACTCCACCGTCATGTCTTCATGTACATGCAGACTCATATCATTCTATGAAGTACTTAGAGCCATTCTTTTCCTTCTGCCTGGAAAATACCTTGCCAAATGCACAGTGTATATTTGAAAGTTGTCAGACACTGGGGGATTTTTGAAGATGCATAGCATGTAGTGGATGAGAATCATGAAAGAAATCATCCATGGAGGAATCCAAGTAGTGTTATTGTGGAATCCCTGAGAAATACTGCAATGTGTGTAACGAGATAATTTGTGTTCTAAGGTAAAGCCTCCAATTTGGGGGGTTTAGAACAACCACAACTGGCCAGCACTGAGGTGGAGCGTAAGAAACTGCCTCATGCCCTCCATGCCCTCTATTCTTTTTCTGTTCAGTCAGTTCCTTGTTCACAACAAAGTTGTGGAAGTGTTGAGTCCAACCTCATTTGCTTATTAGCCAATTTAGCAAATAGGAACTTGCTTTCTTCCTGTTTCTTTTTGTGCCCAACCCTTCACTATGCGCTACCAAGGCATTTGCAGATCCTTCTGAGGGTGAGATAGAAAATCCACTCCCAACACACAGATCTTCACCAGAAAGCAAACACCAGGAACAGTCTTTGTGAGAACACTTGGACCAGCCAGGTAGTGAGCAGGAGTGCCCGAGATTTGCTTTGTGATTCAGCAGCAGAGAAAGACACATAATGACCGGGGAGTGGGGAGGTGTCTTCATTGTTTCACAGATGAAGCGTCTTGGTTTTCAGAATATTTGCAACTAGATAGAGCTTCTTTAGCAATTAGAAATTGTAGGATGGGTGTAACTCACTACTGCAACACTTTCCTCAAGACGTTCAGAAATATTTATGCATTGGAAATCTACTTGTTTTGTTCATTTTTATGTTCTTGTATATTAATCAGTACAGAAATATTCTACAGGGGATTAGTCAATATATGCTGTTCTGGAAGTTGAATACCATATGACTGTTGTCATACCAGAATATAAGGACTTAATGAGTATCGTGTGCGATTTGAGAAACCCTATCAGAAGATTTTGAACACAATATTTATTTTTATTGTCTGGCAGTCCTTTAGATACCTGCTTTTTTTACTTGAAAGCTGAAATGGACTTGTTTCATTGGACCTTATCTCCATATTTAGAATCTGTTCAGTGCAGGGTCACAAGGATGGTAGGTGTATTGGGGTGGGGGGTCCCTATGAGATGTGATTGAGGTAGCTGGGTCTTTTCTGCCTGAAGAAAAGGAGACTCAGTGGGCATCTTGTCAAGTCTGACAACACAGACATGGACACCCCTTCCGACTCATGATGTTTCTATGGCACATTTGCATCTGCCAGTATAGGAGCTCTATGAACCATCATGGGTAGAGGACTGTACAGGTGATAGCAAAAATCCATGTGACACATAATACACAGCACTTCCTGCTTTGCCACCTACCTGTCTGATCTGAAAACATCTCTGCTGGACATGGAATACGAGCATAGCAACAAAATGGATGTCCTTCTTTCTTTTTTGTTCGGGAACCTGAAGGACAATTGTTGTTGCATCTTGCAATGGGCAGCACCTGTTCATAGAAAGAGTCAAAAAATATATGGAGAACAACGTACGTGAAACAAGCAGGTTATGATAGTGTCTCATTGTTCAAAAGGAAGAAAAGGAGGGAGGAGGAGAGGAATTGGAAAGTTGGAAAGTAATAAGCTTGACAGTTTGCTCATGGACCCAATTAATTCTAGGCCATCCTGTTATGCCCAGTGGTGGTGGTGGTGGTGGTTGCTGTTGTTTTAATTGGGATAGTGACAGGATGGATGTTATTATTTCAGAACAGGGCACCAAATGAGAGCACATGCAGGCCAGCAGTTTGAGAAGGTGTGAAGAGAAGGTAGCAATTAAAACTATCTAAATAAGGAGCAAACAAGATTGGGGTATTACGAGAAGACTGCTTTATTTTTCCCTGTCCATCAGGTTCAGAAGGACTATGCAGAGTAAATGCTAGAAGATTTGCTGCAAGCAATAATTTTTTCTTCTCACCTGATGAAAAGCTCTGTGCCATGTGATGGCTTCCTTGTTGATGGTAAACTCTTGTCCTGATATAGCCTGTGGATCCATCCCTCCTACTTGCACTCTTAAAAAGGATTGGTTTGGGAAAGTAACCCAGTTGATTAGATCAAATCCAGCAGCTAATTCACCATTCTCATGGAAAGACACCAAGTCCCCAGCACTGTTGTTAAATGAGATGCTCCTTAGGAAAGGGTGAAGCTGGATAGAAAGAAGCAAAAGCAGACAGAAATGATGAGCAGATATTGCAGCAGCTATTTCTGATCTTGAAAAGTAATGCTCAGAAATACTAGCTAATGTGTGTGATGCTGCAAGCTGATCTCACTCTCTATAATTCCTGCCCTAGTAAATTGTCTTTGCCTCCTTGGTGGAATCTGGACAAACCAGGGATTAATTGATGGAAGAACCCCATTGAAAGAGGGGAGATGTGGAGGGTTCGCTGGGCCAGCCAGTCAACCTCGGCAAGCGGCGCGAGAAAGTTTAAAGAAAGGAAAAAAGACTGCAGTCCAGAAATCAGTTACAAAGGATGCTTGGTTTAGTTGCAGGGGGAGAACAGCAAAAACTTCTTCCCCCAAGGTTTTTTCTTCTTCTCTCTTCTTGCTCTTTCCCCCTCACCACCGGCATCTGCTTTTATTACTTCACACTTTTTACCTAGGCATTTGAATACAGCCAATTAGCCATCGTATACAAGCAGCCAACACCTTAATGCTTAGGTTACAAGGCTTATATGGTTACAAGCCTTATATGGTTACAAGCCTTATATGGTTACATAGGTAAATTACAATACTCTTGGTCTTCGTGTGGTACGTGAGTACAGCATGACCCAGCAATGAATTCCCACAGGGAGAACCCTTTCTCTGCTTGGCTGTAGGAAAAAGATACTGTTTGGCTGATGCACATAAAATTGACCAGCACATGGAACCATGAATGCAACAGTTAGCTGCAATATCAAGCTGAAAAAACAAGCATGTACCCAGAAACTCTGCCAAACAGAGCTGTGTAGTCAGCTCCTAAAGTCCAAGGATATGAAATTAACTTTTGACCTGATCAGCTTAAAGGAAACCGAGACAATTATTAGATCTCTGGAGAGGTTTGCTATGAATAATGTGCACAACCGATGCATGCATTTGGGTGGGGGTGGGGGGATAAGCACAGTGCTATGCACACATTTTCATGCATTATTTCTCAAACAACACAGAAAACTCCCATCCAATATGACTGAACTGCCAGGTAATAGAAACACATTTGTATAATATATTCCAACAGGATAAAAGCATTGCTCTGTAGATTTTACAAAACCGACAGGTATCATATCACTGAAAGAGCAAGTTAGACTGGGTGATTCTCAATGATAAAAGAGGTTATTCTTTCCTTATTCAATTTTACACATTACTCAGTTTGTGTTCTCGGTT